CCTATACAAGACCTTGTCTCAGCAGCGTTCTCTCTCTCTCTCTCACCTGAAGATGATTGCTTGTGTTGCGATCCAAACGTCGTGATCTATTATTTTTTATTTACGTGACTTGCCCGAAAGACCCAAGAGTATGAACTGTGCTGTAGCCTAAGAGGACTGTAATAGACACGATCAAGAATTCCCTTTATTAATCCGGTAGAGGCTTGCTAAATATCAAGACTTTTTACAATAAGAGTTCAGCATTGGGATGTTTGGCCACTTCCATCGTGTGTACTTGCATGTGGGAGAGAAACCAGAGCGCCTGGAGAAAACCATTCCACAGGAGCAGGGAACATTCAAAGCTCCACTTAGATTCAAGAATCAATTGCTGTACTGTAATTTCCTGGAAACCTCACAAACCCAAGCCTACAAAGCCTGGAATCCCCAGGCAGTCTCCCATCCAAGTACTAACCAGGTTTCAAGCCTGCTTAGCTTCAGAGATCCAAAGACAATCATGTGTATTTAGGGTGTTATTTTAGATTAAATGTAGTCGAATATTCTTACTGAACCCTCTCAATCCCACTGGTGGTGGTTCTTTTCACCATACTTCACCATTCTGGCAAGTACATATTGCTAAAAGGTGAGAGGTTCACCTCCAGTTGAGATATCACTCGTCAACGGTGCTAGCCATGGGCAGGAGATGATCTCAGGTCAAAGTGCAGAGCAGTAACCACTGTACCACCAATCCACCCCTCGATATATATGCGTACAGTATTACTCCTGCATATCAAGAACATGTCCCATAGCAGTGGCAAAACTTTTTCAGGAAGGGCCTCCTTTGGGATATTTGGCCATTTCCCTGACTATTATATTTTTGTACGGCAGGAAACCGGAGTGCCCAGAGAAAGACTCGCACATATACGGGCAGAGAACAATTAAACTGTGCCGCATTCATGGCCTGTAATATTAATCGAGCATGCCGAGCGAATACAGATCACCTGAAATGCTGTACAATAAATGCCTAATGCATGTACACGTGTCCTCATGTGCATCATTGCATTGTTGCTCACAGTCTTTGCAATAGAACTAATCATGCTTCAGGTATATATATAGATACTGCACACACCACAGTTGCATAGTATGCGTAACCTTGTGTGTTAACCCTGGTTAAAGACCTGATAGCATAGTGGTTAGCGCACAGTTTGATTCCTGGCGAAGGCTAACATGCGTGGTGATAATCTGAATTGGTCTTGGGCCGCCCCTTAAGTTTGGCGGAGCCTTAAATGAGCACCTGGCGAGGTGTATAAACATCAACATTGGAGATATGAAGGTGGGCCGGGCATGGTGCCGGCAACACCACGCCATAATGCGCCGTACAGGCCTTCATAGGCGCTCGCTAACAGCCTGCGTAGGCTATAAGCGGGATCTCTGTCTTTGGTAAACTCGGTGGCGCAATGGCTGGTAGCACAGGTGGTGAAGCATCTGCAAGGGATCTCACACAGTCCGTTAACCTATAACACCTGGGCCTGCCCCATGGCCTTCTACCAGCGAGGCTTCGGCACTTCACCATGCAGCCTCAAAGTGCACCTAGCCTGGCACGAACGCTGAGCTGACGTCAACGCCACTTAATGACGGGTGTTGTTAATAATCCGGTGCTCGTTAAGTTTGCATGTCATGACATCAGCAACCATTGGCTATCGACTGCTGGATGAAGGCCTTCTCACGCCATCGGCATCACCATCCCTCCAGTGCTGCTGACACGTCTCACTCGCAGATGAACTGATCTCATCGCTCCATCTCTTATCTAAACTAACTGTTTATTTTACCAGGTAAGGTCCACTGAGCTATATAGCGCCTTTTCCGAAGCGACCTGGCCTCAAATGATAGCTCAACTAAGTGGACTACCATGTGGAAACACTATGAACACATGTAGTTTAAAAAACTACAAATATACAGGCGTCAGGATCGGAATAGAACCCACTACCCTCCTGCATACCAGGCGAGGTAGTTAACATCTCGCCAACTGTGGCAAAAAGGCCATCCCTATGCGTGCCCCACCATCCGTATATGCTTTACTACAATACACTAAGAGTTATTCATGGAGTGGAATAAGTGTAACATACATATGAGAGAGCCTGGCTGGGAGCATATGTCACAATATCCACCGGGCATGACATAGCAAGCGTAAGTTTACGCGTGAGCACATGCAGCAGTGTTTGCGTGTAGAATTATTGAGTAACATGGTTACTGGCAACAATTGCCAGGGAGTCCAATTACCATTTGGCTACACTGAGAAATACAGCAAGAACAGGAACACTTCCGTAGAGTGTCCACTATCTATGTTTATCTATATTATGGTGTTGTATAAAGGTGTGTGTGTGTGTATTGTGGACTGCCAGGGCAGTAAGACACTCCACCCACTCGAAAAATATTCATAAAAGCAACTGTAAAAATATAGTCACGCTGTGAGCGCCATGCCCTATAAACCAACGCTGCTAACATCGCCACCATCACTCGCAAACATAAACCAATCACATTAATTGATGGATACTTTAATATCATTCCCTGCTAATGGAATATATTACGACTGCACCATTCTTCCATTATAATACACATTTGTCAACATGGTGGATCCACTCTGAAATATCAGAGGGCCCTCGTACCAAGGTTTGGATTCTAGGAAAAAAAAAATCGTGTTTCTTTCCATGAGTGTTGTTTTGTGTCGATTTGACTCTTAGTTGACACAAAAATGTAATCTTCACCTTCATCACGCGGTGAGTTAAGGTGACATATCTGTCGAGAAAACAACTCACGCTGGCATCTTAAGTGGAGCACACCCAGTTGCTACCTCGATGTGCAGGACTGATGTTCATCAACGAACACATTCAGGTTGATTGGTGATCGAGCACTCACTGGTTCCCTTGGTCGCCTACTTATCACTATTCTATTGCTACTACCAGGATGTGTCGTCTCATCCACACTTGTGTTTAACCACCACACTGCAGCTCACAACAACTCACTCGCTCACCCACCCACTGCTCAACCACTGCTCACCACACTGCAGGTAACAACTCACTCACCCACTCACTGCTCACCACAATGCAGGTAACAACTCACCCACCCACTCACTGCTCACCACACTGCAGGTAACAACTCACTCACCCACTCACTGCTCACCACACTGCAGGTAACAACTCACTCACCTACCCCTCACCACTCTGCAGGTCACAACTCACCCACCCACTCACTCACTGCTCACCACACTGCAGGTCACAACTCACCCACCCACTCACTGCTCACCACACTGCAGGTCACAACTCACTCACCTACCCCTCACCACACTGCAGGTCACAACTCACCCACTCACTCACTGCTCACCACACTGCAGGTCACAACTCACCCACCCACTCACTCACTGCTCACCACACTGCAGATCACAGCAACTCACCCACCCACTCACTGCTCACCACACTGCAGGTCACAACCGCTGGTCTTTCTGCTTCTTCTCTTACACAGCTCCACTTTGGAATTCCCTCCCCCATGTTATCTCTACCCCCCGCCCCCATCTAGTTCTTAGCGTAATAGAACCCTAGCTCAAAGCAACAACAAGTACAACATCTTCAATCTACTGCAACTTCCATAGTGCTTTGTGTTGCTGGTCGGCCGCTTTGAATTGTTGGGCCTTTCGGGACCCTGTGGCTGGCCGTGATTTTAAACAAAATCACATTTTCACGTGGCGGGTAAGTCAACACGAACTCCGCTCGTGACTCCAGCCGACAGGCAGGGCAGGGCAGCAGGGCATGAAAGGTAGCAGAGCAGCCAGGGCAGCTAGGGCAGCAGGGCAGGCAGGGCAGCAGGGCAGGCAGGGCAGCAGGGCAGCTCGGGCAGCAGGGCATGAAGGGTAGCAGAGTAGCAGGGCAGGCAGGGCAGGCAGGGTAGCAGAGCAGCCAGGGCAGCTAGGGCAGCATGGCAGGCAGGGCAGGAAGGGCATGAAGGGTAGCAGAGCAGCCAGGGCAGGCAGGGCATGAAGGGTAGCAGAGTAGCAGGGCAGGCAGGGCAGCAGGGCAGCTAGGTACAACAAGCGAGGTGGGGCAGCAGCAGCAGCAGGAGAGTTTCTGGCTCTAGTTTGTCAAGAAGTAGAAGCCACCACCACGGTGTGGGCAGCTGCTGCTGCTGCAGCCTCTGCCCCACCACCATCACCACCACCGTGGTGTGTACTGCCTGCCGTGGTGGCTGCGTGTAGAGTGGCGTGTGATGTGTGGATGTGTGTAGTGGTGAAGTGTGGTGTGATGTGTAGCGTGGTGTTACGTTGCGGTGTGATGTACTAATGCGTGCAGTACAAGGAGCGGTGGGACGCTGGGTGTGAGGGCAGTGGGGCGCGCCGTGATTCGTGGCGTGCTGTGTGGGTCGTGATGGGCTTAGTGTGATGGGCTTGATGGGATCTGTAGTGGATGTTGCGTCCTGTGGTAACGTGGTCGCCAGCTGCCGTGCAGGTGCGATGGTGGATGCCCGTGGGGCGATGCGTTTTGCCGTGTATCGTGGCGTGGTGATGTAGCGTGGTGTAGTGTAGCGTGGTGTATCGTGGCGTGGTGTAGTGTGGTGTAGTGTAGTGTTGTGATGTGGCGTGGTGTAGTGTAGCGTGGTGTAGTGCATCGTGGTGTAGTGTAGCGTGGTGTAGCGTGGTGTATCGTGGTGTAGTGTAGTGTAGCGTGGTGTAGTGTAGTGTGATGATGTAGCGTGGTGTAGTGTAGTGTGGTGTAGCGTGGTGATGTAGCGTGGTGTAGTGTATCGTGGTGTAGTGTATCGTGGTGTAGTGTAGCGTGGTGTAGTGTAGCGTGGTGTAGTGTATCGTGGTGTAGTGTATCGTGGTGTAGTGTAGTGTGGTGATGTAGCGTGGTGTAGTGTAGCGTGGTGCATCGCTCCGCGTTCTACCGACACTCGGCCCGCGTCACAACGAGACAACAACAACAACAGCAGCCGCCACCACCGCCGAGCACGCCAGAGAGACGGCCACCGCTCACCAGCTGGTGGACGACTTCTCGCTGCACACATCCTCGTAGGCCGCGAGCAGAGCGGTGCGGTTCTTGTCGAGGTTGAGCGCCATGACCGCCGCCTGCTTACTCCTCCTGCTGCTGCTGCTGATGATGCTGCTGCTGCTGCTGCACCTCTCCCCCCACGCCTCTCTCGCGACTCTCACCCCGCCGCCTCCTCCTCCTCCTCCCCCCCACTCGCTCGGCGTCACCACCACTACCACAGCCAGCAGCAGCAGCAACACCTCCAGCAGCACCACCTCCAGCAGCAGCACTACCAGCAGCAGCACCACCTCCACCACCAGCACCACCACCAGCACCACCTCCACCAGCAGCAGCACCACCTCCACCACCAGCACCACCTCCACCACCAGCACCACCAACAGCACCACCACCACCAGCAGCAGCACCACCTCCACCACCAGCACCACCACCAGCACCAGCAGCACCACCAGCACCACTACCCCCACTCCCACTAGCACCACCAGCACCAGCAGCAGCACCACCTCCACCACCAGCACCACCACCAGCACCACCAGCACCAGCAGCACCAGCAGCACCACCAGCACCACTACCCCCACTCCCACCAGCAGCACCAGCACCAGCACCACTCCCACCAGCAGCACCAGCAGCACCACCACTACCACCACCAGCACCACCAGCAGCAGCACCACCAGCACCACCACTACCACCACCAGCAGCAGCAGCACCACGGGGCAGGATTCTCTGCTCCCTTCTCCTGGGCGGGGATCCCAAAGCGGTGCCCCCCCCCCTAGGGGTAGAGCTGACGTCACAGACTCCACCCAGACCCGCCTTCTTTGTGACGTCACCGTTTTATTTTCTCTCCACGTTGGTGGGTTTCTGTTGACAGGGGGCTCCTCGACTTGCGAACGAGTTGGGTTCCAGAGGACTGTGCGTTAGTCGATTTGCTCGTAAGTCCAACTTTACTCCCGTCGATTCCAAACATGCTGTACGACGTGTACACCAAACACGGGGAATGGCGTTCAAAGTTGTATAATCTCCTGTAGACGTAGATGCCACTGGTTCTTTACTTTCTTCAGAAGTAGATGCCACTGGTTCTTAACTTTATGCAGACGTAGATGCCACTGGTTCTTCACGTTCTGCAGAAGTAGATGCTACTGGTTCTTCACGTTCTGCAAATGTAGATGCCACTGGTTCTTCACGTTCTGCAGATGTAGATGCCACTGGTTCTTAACTTTCTGCAGAAGTAGATGCCACTGATTCTTCACGTTCTGCAGATGTAGATGCCACTGGTTCTTCACGTTCTGCAGATGTAGATGACACTGGTTCTTCACGTTCTGCAGATGTAGATGCCACTGGTTCTTCACGTTCTGCAGAAGTAGATGCCACTGGTTCTTCACGTTCTGCAGATGTAGATGCCACTGGTTCTTCACGTTCTGCAGATGTAGATGCCACTGGTTCTTCACGTTCTGCAGATGTAGATGCCACTGATTCTTCACGTTCTGCAGATGTAGATGCCACTGGTTCTTCACGTTCTGCAGATGTAGATGCCACTGGTTCTTCACGTTCTGCAGATGTAGATGCCACTGGTTCTTCACGTTCTGCAGATGTAGATGCCACTGGTTCTTCACGTTCTGCAGATGTAGATGCCACTGGTTCTTCACGTTCTGCAGAAGTAGATGCTACTGGTTCTTCACGTTCTGCAAATGTAGATGCCACTGGTTCTTCACGTTCTGCAGATGTAGATGCCACTGGTTCTTCACGTTCTGCAGATGTAGATGCCACTGGTTCTTCACGTTCTGCAGATGTAGATGACACTGGTTCTTCACGTTCTGCAGATGTAGATGCCACTGGTTCTTCACGTTCTGCAGAAGTAGATGCCACTGGTTCTTCACGTTCTGCAGAGGTAGATGCCACTGGTTCTTCACGTTCTGCAGATGTAGATGCCACTGGTTCTTCACGTTCTGCAGAAGTAGATGCCACTGGTTCTTAACTTTCTGCAGAAGTAGATGCCACTGGTTCTTCACGTTCTGTAGATGTAGATGCCACCACTGCCATCTATTGCGCGGCGGTTGAACTTACGACTCTCGGTCTGAACAGCCAACTGAACATACGGAAAGGGTTGGTCGTATCTCTGAAAGTTTGTAAGTCTAAAGTTCGTAAGTAGAGGAGTCACTGTATGCGATTTTTTTATTTGCATTATGTATGATGCAACCCAGGAGTCGGTAACTAAAAATAACAAGAAGATTATTCTTTTTTTTTGGTTCTCTCGGTAAAGTCACGTAGAATGGAAATAATAAAATAATAAAAATAAAACATAATAAAATAATTCTCACGACGTTTCGGCCACAACGCAAGCAGCCGTCCTCAGGTGGAGAACAGGTCTGTCGAGAAGACAGAGTCTGAATGACACACCCCAGGCTTGGAACGACTATTTAAGCTGGGATGGAGGGGGGAAGAGCGCCTTAACAAAAGATTATATTTTTTTAGCGTTTCAAATTCGCAATTACACGTGTTGAATACGAGCTTGGTCGTACTTAATAAATAAAGTTACGAAGCGCTCCTTAAAGAGGCCGCAAGCGGCTTCCGGAGTCGCAGGTTTTCCGGCCCCTGTGCTAACCTATTTCTACCCAAAAAATTCGCTCGATGCCGTTTGAATCCAATCACATGCGGCTATTACGGTCGGACGTCAGGCGACATTGTGTGTGCTGTGTCCTCGTCCGCTTTCGCTTTGTGTGGCCGTTTTTTTGAAAGCATCTACTACCTAATAAAGCGAGGGAAACTTGTATATGCTGTATAGCACAAACACAACAAAAAGCCGATTAGAACGAGTTTGCTGTACATGTAGAAATGTCTGTATGTCGATCAACAAGTAGCTTGACGTATATGGTGAGGTAAAAGTACCTATTGTTTCTAAGACGTCTTTGTCAGCGTGGAAGAGTAGACCAAATACCAGCTAGAGTTCCCTCTAGCGGTGGCCTTTGCACCAGCAGTGGTGTGAGCAAGTAATTCCAGGGCTCTTGCGCCTTCTAACTGAGAAACCTTTTACCGCCGTGCGGTTTGTTGTTACGTTTATCCGTGACAATCACTGCATTCATGACTAAAATTCCGCTGCAAATGTCTACAAGCTCCTGACTTACAGAACCTGTCACCTATTCGGAAAACGGTTACCGGTTTTACCCAGGTCGCCCTTGCGAAAGGGGCAACGTTGCACATGGCTTGATTTCATCTCCAGGTTAATTAAAGGATAATACTGATAGGAACCTCCTGGTTACACCAGCCCACAGGGGATTATTGTGTCCGTCCGTCCGTCGTGCAGGGAAGGGCTTGGTGGGGAGGGGCTGGGTGGGGAGGGTGGGGCTGGGTGGGGCGGAGGGGTAGGGCTGGGTGAGGAGGGGTTGGGTGGGAGGGGTCGGGCTGGGTGGGGAGGGAGGGGCTGGGTGGGGAGAGTGTGGCTAGGTGGGAAGGGGCTGGGTGGGGAGAGTGAGAGGGGTGGGGCTGGGTGAGGAGGGGCTGGTCACCCCGTGGTGCCCTTATAAAACTCAACGTTTAACCTACTCACGCCGGCTTGTGCCCGCCCTCACAGTCGGCCATATTTGTGGAATACACCACGCCGCCGTTGACCCTGCAGGCCATTGACCGAGCAACCCAACGTTCCTACCAGCTCCCTCCGCAGGAATGTGTTGGACGTTAGAATACGGGCGCATTGGTGCCTTTACTTGTTTTTGAGCGCATGTCTCCGTACATGCAAATAACCAAACAACGTAGCAAAATAATACTGACAAAATGCACCCACATATCTGTCTCCCCACATTGAAAACTAAAAGTGTTTCTTACACAACCCCATCAGCCGCACGGCCCTCTGGGAGTGCGTAATATTTAGCAGCAAACTCTGGACCGGTTTCGACGGACAGTGTCTCATCAGTGTCTCATCAAGAGTGTCAGGCTTGCTTGAGTCAATGCGGGTAGACTACTGCTCTTACTTACAGGCAAGGAGCATATCTCTTTACGAGTTCGGGTTCAATATCAAAATAATTATGAGGCTCGGTGTCGAGAATATAAATGCCGAAATAAATCATCAGACAATTTCTCCTTGTCTGCTAATTATTTGCAAAGAGACATTGCTGATGTATTGCATTTATATGCAGTACAGTGCTCCAAAAGGACGTGAACAATTATTTAAAGCTGCACATTATGCGGGCTCCCTCGAGGGACCGGCTTGTCAGCTTCTCTTTAATGTCGATGCATTCCTTCATCGCCACCGTGCACCTCCTAGGCGTGATGTCAGAAGCTGACAAGCGCGGATGTGGTTGTTTTTTGTAGGGGGCGTCCATAAATGACGTCACGCGATTCTGGACGATTTTTGACCCCCCCCCCCCCTCGTCACACGGCGTCACAAAAAGTCTGACCCCCCCTCTCAAATATGACGTCACAAAGCTCTGCCCCCCCATAACCATATTTCCATTTTGAAAATAAAACATGCTTCAAATCGCTTTAAACTATTGTCATTGTAGTGCGTATTTAATGTGGCGCTGCACTCTCATTTGGAGGAGAAAACGTTTATTAAAAAGTCAATTTAATAAAGTAGAACGTGTTCTCTATATTTATTTAAAGTTGCGCATTTTGATGCGAATTGGAAAGGCCTGCGCGCACTGTACACGTCGTTTCCATGAAGTAATATCAGAAATTGGTTCAACTATGGAAATAAAAAAGCCCTATTGTTCACTGTGTCCTTCAACATTCGTTTTGAAATAAGGAAGGGAAATCGTGCATTTAGTGATTCTCTAGCACTTTCTAAAATGTATTTATCCTCAGAGGTATTTTATTATGAGTGTGTTTTACCTGCCCTGGCAAATGGATTGTAAGCGTGGATCGGACACACAGACAATGAACAAAGCGAAGTGTGCAAAGATGGAAAGTGTGCAAACATTAAAACGTGTTCAGACAAGCGTGGAGATGCGATGCTTTATTTATTTCGCAAAACAATTGGCAAAATGTGAATGTAATGAATAACAAATATGTATGTGTGCCTTTAATTCTAGCGTTTGTTATTTCATATTTTGTCAGGATATGAAAGGAAAATAAAATGAACAATTACATCGTAAAGTCACGTAGAAGGGAAGTAATAAAATAATATGTGACTTTACCGAAAGAACCAAGAAGATGAATCCCTGCAGTCACGAAAGCTTTAAATCGAAATAACATCGTACACAAATATTTTGCAAATGGATGATACGATTATCGTGCATGTGATACCGCACGATATATTTGTAAGATTCCCATATTGTGACAAACCGAGTGAATATAGTATTAGGCATTCCTATTAGCGCTGCATTTTAAAAGAAAAATGTGATTAGGCATAGAGTTAGCAGTAGGCCAGGGTTATAGACAGTGTATATATACACATTACACGTGACAATAACATTACACGCATAAAATGCATATTTTTTATTTGTAAATGCACACGCCTTCTGAATATTTACACATTCTGGAGGGAGCAGGAGCGCAGTGGTCTGCGCGCGGCATTACGAGCCCATAATAATGAGTTTCATTTTCAGACGAGCGATTTATGACCCAGTCCTGGGTTCCACCTCCTTCAACCCGCAATGACCAGCGTGGTGAGGTATTGCCAAACAACTTCTATTACCAACTCAAAGGTATATAAAGAATATATATACATCCATAATACAGTCTTTTTGGGTTAGATCGCGTAAATATATAAATGCGTCGTTAAACCCG